CTAGCTTCCTGGCATGTTAAGCGTACCTGCTGGTATATATCTACCAAGAACGCCCCCCTTTTCCCGATAATGTTTCATCTACATTGTAAGCAGATCGGAGCCTCCTTCTGGTGCTGAATTGAACCTAGGATGTCACATAGAAGCAGGCCATGTGTGTTATACCCTCAGTCCAATGTCTATCTTTTTTGTCTCGTTTTTTTCCAAATTAACTGAATTTTACTAACTTGAAATTATGTATACAAGCTGAACAACTGGAGGATGTTTGCGATGCTGAGATCCTCAAAAGGGGTGGATTGTAGGGGACTAGTGAGCAAATTGGCCTGATTGCAGCTTAAGTAAACTTGAAACAGCTTCGGTGGTGAATATTTCTGGTTTTGAGATGGGGCCTTACCATGTAGTCCAGGCTAGTCTTGAACTCCAGGATTCTCCATCAGCAGCCTGCTGGGTCAGTAAGATTCTATATGCATTGTGGTTGGTTTCTTCATCTTTTGTTTTTGAGACAGGACATTGCTGTGTATTCCACACTGGCTTCACACTATGAACTGGAGACAGTCTTCCTCCTGCCTCTGCCCACCGAGTGCTGGGATTCTAGGCATTGCCACCATACCCATCTTTTTAATCCCTGTAAGGGCCTCGTGAAACTGGGGTGATTTATTACCCACAGTTTTTTGTTTGTTTAGTTGTTTGGGGTTTTTTTTTTTTGTTTCTTTTTGTTTTATGAGACAAGGTCTCACTAGGTAGCCCTAGCTGTCCTGGAACTCACTATGTAGACCAGGCTGGCCTCGAACTCACAGAGATCCACATGCCTCTGCCTCCTGAGTGCTGGGATTAAAGGCGTGTGTCACCAACACCAGGCTACTCAGTTTTCACTTAAGGAAACTAAGGTTGAGACAGGTGAATGGACTTCCTCAGAGGTCCAAATAAGTGGCCACACTGGGCCTGAAACCCCAACTCCTCGGGGCCTTCTGCATCCCCTTCTGCCGGTAGCAAGCCAGCAAGTTCTCATAAGCATGAGACCCCCAAAATCTCAGAGGGAGAAGCAAAGGCCTGGTCCTCAGAACCCAAGGTGACAATGAAGGTTCTCCTCGGCAGGAAGAGGGGGCCCCTGCACGCCGCAGCTAGCCACAAGGTACGAGAGAGCGGACTTGGGTCCAGCAGGTGGCCGACAACTGGATTCCAGGAATAGCTGACATGCACCATGCCCCTCTGGAAGGAAGGTGTGCCCCCTCCAGAAGCCACTCCAGAACACTCCTGATATTTGGGGGAAGGGAGGATCCCTGGCTCTTTATTAAAACTTTTCTCCTCAGTAGTGTGATTGCCCGTGGAAGGTGGAGTCTTGCAACAGGTCCAGAAGACTTCGTTGGTTTCAAAGGTGGCGCGCTGATGACCAGGAGTTCCTCCCGAGACGAGCTGTTCAGCCAGTTGCAAAAGAGGGGCTTCGGGGCTTTCACTGAGGGGCAAAGTGGGGAGGGCAGGAGGCCGAGAGAGCAGCACTAGGAGGTTCCAGTTCATCCTCCAGTCGTCAGGCTGTTGGGGAGCACTCCCTGGAAGACAGTGGGAGCTGCGGACTCTACACTTAGGGATCCTTCCCTCACCTAGCACCCAAGCCGTATACCACCCTTGACTATAGCCAGCATGCCCCGCTTCTCTCATCATCCATTTCTCCACGCACATATCCACCCACATCCTCCTTCCGTCTATTCACTTACAGATCTACCCATCATCCCTTCCCCGTCCTTCAACTCCATCCACCTGCTCACGCACCCATTACTCACCCGCCTTCCCACCCACTCATCTCTTTCATCTCCCACTTCTTGAGAGCAGGGGCTTTATTTTGCTCAGTGCTGCACCCTGGGACAGTGTTGCCTGCCTGCCTGCAGTAAGTGCTTAGCACATGCTCAGTCGACATATCCATTCCCCCATTCACCCATTCGCCAACTCTCCTTCTACTCATCCATCTACTTCCCAGCTAACTTCTGTCTGCTTTTTAATTTAAAATTTTATTATTTAGCTACTTGTTTTTTGAGACAGGGTCTATATAGCCCTGGCTGACCTGGAACTCACTCTGTAGACCAGGCTGGCCTGGAACTCACAGAGATCCACCTGCCTCTACTTCCTGAATGTTGGAATTGAAGGCATGAGCCATACCAGGCTTTTTTTTTTTTTTTTTTTTAATTTTATTTTACGTGTATGAGTAGTCTGTGTACCACTTGAGTGCCTGGTGCCTGTGGAGACCAGAAGAGGGCATCAGATCTCCTGGAACTGGAGTTTCAGACAGTAGTGAGCCATCATATGGGTGCTGGGAATCGAACCTGGGTCCTCTGGGAAATCAACAAGTGCTCTTAACTGCTGAGCCATATCTCTCCAGCCTCTTTTTTTTTGTCTGCTTTTAAATTTTTGTTTCCCCATATATCATTTCTATTATATGTTGTGTATTTATATTATCTATTGTATTACATATGTGTAATTTCTAAATTCCTAAATTTGTTTATTTATTTTGAGACAAGGTCATTCCACGTAGCCCTGGCTGTCCTGGAACTCACTGGGCAGACCAAGTTGTCCTTGAACTCACAGGAATCACCCTCTCTGCCCCCAGAGTGCTGAGATCGAAGGTATGTGCTGCCAAGCCCGGCAGGCCCCAGAGCATACAAGCTGCTCACAATCTCACTTTTTAAGACACCTCTTTGTGCCTTGGGTCATACAATCCTTGCTGCTTAGAATATTTATATCAGAGCTGTTTTCCTAGAAAAATCCCTTCTTTAGGTGTTCCCTTCTTCAGGAAGCTCTGTGATGCATTTCCTTCCCAGCCCAGTTGAGGATGAGGCAAAAGCAGTCTTATTGTTTTCTCAGGTAGGCACCATTCCATACTGTGTTATCATCGGCCACTTACTTGGCTTGGCCTCACTCTACACTGGATTTTGCTGGGAATGGTGGATCATGCCTTTTATCCTAGCACTTAGGAGGCAGAAGCAAGTGGATCTTTGTGAGTTTAAGGCCAGCCTGGTCTACATAGTAAATTTCAGGCCAACTAAGCTACATAGTGAGACCCTATCTCAAACCAACAAACCAACCCTTGAATTCTTTTAAAGGCTGAGTCTCTATTGTGCATTCTGTGTCCCAAGCTCCCAACACAAGGAGCGGCACATAGGGGACACTGGAAATGCTGAACCGGAACGACCATAGACAAACCTTTTCACGAGGAGATGGCAGGAGGTGTGCCTTGGTGCGGGTGCGATTTCTGTCAGAGCTGGAGACGGTAGAAGAACAGAGAGAAGGTTGACAATCGTAAACTGCGGGATGTTTCAAAACTCCCCCTACCACTGCTCTCCACCGGTTCTCCCAGGACAGAGCCTCACTCACCGGGTGTCTGTGCCACGGGTCTTGGTGAAGAACACTGGAAATAGAGGCCCCAGTTAGAGACTTTCCCCATGGTTAGAAAGAGTTGTGGGTAACGTGAATGGGGAAAGGGGGTCCTGGCTAGCAACAGTGAGTGCGTGAGAGGGTAGGGGGCACTGTGCCCAGGACTGGCACTGAGGAGGGGAAATGGGCAGATCCCTGGGGAGGTCAGGTATTGCGGGAAGGGAGTTAGGAACTGGTCCCTAGATGAAGAGGGAGAGTTCACCATGTCTAGATATCTGAGTCCCTTGGTCTTTCATTTGCTTTTCCTTGATGGGCACAGAGTTGACGTGGGAGCGAGCAATAAACAGGGCTTCATCTGTAAGTTCTGCGCTGATACGGGTCAGGAATTCTTCTGAACGGGATAATGAGACTTTCTGGAAAGGAAGTTAGAACTCAGCCTGCACATTCCCACTGGTCTGGTGTCTTCCAGGCTGCAGGCTCTCTGGCGGGGGAAGCTGGGATTAGGAGGTTGACTAGAAGGACCTGGACAAGGAACGCCGTCTATGGGGCTTCAGGATAAAGGCACCAGACTCAGAACCGGACTTCCCGCCTTGCTTCCCTTCTCCTTCACATCCTCTTCGTTGCTCACCTGCCCTCCACCTAAGGAGGCTGCAGCTTGAGGTGACCAGCTATCCTTTTTCTCCCCATTCCTGGCAGATGTGGATGCCATCCCCTAGAAACAGAGTTTGTGTTAGGACTGAGGAACCAGCCCACTTCCCCCCAGACCCCATCTCACACTATTCCCTGGGCTCAGATTTAGTCCACGGCTACAGCTCAAACACCCCACTCTCTTAGTCCTGCCCTTGAAAAAGTTTGTTGTTTTGCCTATGACTTTGAGGGAAGGGGCTCTCAGAATAACTCCCCCGCCATTCCTTCCAAAGCCCTTCTTCCTTCTTCTCTGCCAAGGCCCTTCCTAAGGGAAGGCAGCCAACATGCAGCCCCCGACCTGGCTGATGGGTTGAAATCGTGGGCTACTCGGCGGGAGGGGAGAAGGAGAGGTCTAAGGGGGCCCTATGATGGGGATAGGGAGTTGGAGTTGGGGAGGAAGGTTGGAAAGAGGGAGAGCCAGGGAAGCGCTGCTCCGGGTTGCTATAAAGACCTAAATGTTTGCGGAGGTTCTATAGTTCCGTTGCTAGGAGACTAGAGGTTCTAGAACTAAAGACATTTTCCTAGCGTGCCACGGTTGCTCTCCAGGTTCCTCCTGGGAGGTGGTGACCCCAGCGTTATTTCGAGGCGTTTGGGGGATGACGTAGGGTGGAACCTGGGCTCTAATCCTCCCACCACCAGGGCGGCGCTAGAAGCAAGCGGCAGGCGCGCCCCGAGCCTCTCTAGCCACCCCGTCCCAGCCTGGGTCGGGGAGCGATCGCGGCCGCAGACGTAGCGGGCGGGGAAGCGATGTGGGCTGTACTAAGTCGCCCCGTCTCTCGGGGAGGCCCAGACTCGGGACGTCGGGATCTCACCGCTTTACCTTGGCCTCCAGGAGTTTATGCCCTCGGTAAAATGCCAAGTACAGATTCCCTTTCAGGTCTCCTCCGCTTCTCCCTTTCCAGTTCCTCCCTTTGCGGACGGCTCTCAGCCCCTTCCCCTCCCTCGCTGCGTTGGTATGAGCCGAAGCCAAGGGGCGCGGGCAGGAAAAGGAAGCAGGCCGGCCTTAAAGGGGCCTCTGCTGCTATTTATTTTATTTATTTATTTATTTATATTTAAAAGCCGCTCTCTCCTTCCTCCGATGTTGTTAACGTCCCCGACGGAAGAGTGAGCTTAGGGGAGCCGGGCGCAGCCAGCAGCGGGGCCCTCTGCTGGAGACGGCAGCTCCTGCCCATCGGAAGGCCAGGTGTGCGTGAGCTGCGCCCAGGGGTGCCCTGCGCCCTGGCGCCCTGCGGGCTCTAACAGCTGGGGTCGCGCGGGGGAACTGGGCCCAGGGCTCTGGTGGAGCGGCTGATGTCCCGGACTGAAAGCTGAGGCCGCGCTGGTGAGACTGGGACAAGCCCTTGCACCTCCAGAGCTGGGCCAGGGCGACGAGGGGAGCCGCCAAGATGCCAGGGGAAAATATCTTCCTGTTCGTGCCTAACCTTATCGGTGAGTGCTGTCTGCGGCCCCGACACCAGCGGAGGGCCAGGGATCGAGAGCCGGTTCCCCGATCACAACCTGCCCCTCTCCCTTCCCATCCCAAGGTTACGCCCGGATCGTCTTCGCCATCATTTCCTTCTACTTCATGCCCTGCTGTCCCTTCACGGCCTCCTCCTTCTATCTACTCAGTGGACTTCTAGACGCCTTTGATGGACACGCGGCTCGAGCCCTTAATCAAGGTGACAGAGCTCTACCACCGCTTGGGGACCCAACATCCCCCTGCCCTTTTCCTGCTTTTCCAGAACCTCAGAAATAGATGGCTCTTTCATTCCCATCTCTGTAAGAAAACCAAACAGGAATTTGGGGGGGATTTAAACCTGGGATTTAAGCTTGCTCTTGAGGACTGTACACGGCTTATGAAGGGTGGGGCCTAACAGTATGACCTAAACTGGACATAGTGATGTGAATGGAAGAGGTCTCTCTGGATAAATTTCCCTTTGGGGCGGGCGTGGCGGCTCATGCTTGTAATTCCAGCACTGGAGAGGCAGACAGAAAGATTGCTCCAAGTCCAAAGTCCTCTCAGGCTGCATTTTGAGAACCAGGTGAGCCAGAGCTGAAGAAGGAAAAAAAAAAAGTCATTGGGGCTGGAGAGATGGCTCAGAGGATCAGTTAAGAATGCTTACAGTGCTGGGCGGTGGTGGCGCTAGCTTTTAATCCCAGCTCTCAGGAGGCAGAGGCAGGTGATCTCTGTGAGTTCAAGGCCAACCTGGTCTACAAATCGAGTTCCAGTTCTGTCTGTTACACTGAGAAACCCTGTCTCAAACAAACAAACAAACAAACAAAAGGAATGTTTACTGCTCTTGTACAGGACCCAGATTTGGTTTCCAGAACCCATGTGGTGGCTTACAACCACCTCTAACTCCAGTTCTAGGGGATCCCATGTTGTCTTCTGGTCTCTGTGGGCACCAGGCGCACATGTGGTGCACATACATGTATGCAGACAAACATACCACGAATTAAAAGATAAATAAGAAAATAAAATTCCATTCAACAGGTGTTCATTAGGGGACTACTATGTGCTAGTCACAGACAATAGGGACTCCAGAAGAGGTTGGAGCTGGGCTTGGGTGGTGGGTGGGGAGCAGGTGGTGCTTGGAGCTCTGACTAATTCATTAATGAATTCTCCAGATCCACCTCTAAAACTGCCCCTGAGACTTGGGGTCTCGTGCCTTTCTTTGGGACCTTGGTTCTTAGAGGAGTTGAAGATAGAGCTTCTCCAACCGCTTTCCTGCCACAGCCCCGTGCGGTCTCATTTCTTGTCCTCATAATCCTCGTCCTTTTGACCTCACCATCTATTGACAGCAGCCTGCTTTCCTTCTCGAGCAGTCGATGGTAGACATTTTCAAACTCCATTCATACTCGGCCCCGAGTGATAGGCCACACATGGGTACCTGTCATCTAGTATACCAGACAGTCCCTTCCACCTTAATTTTTTCAACTTGGTTACTTTTCAGGCACCCGGTTTGGGGCCATGCTCGACATGCTGACAGACCGCTGTTCCACCATGTGTCTCTTGGTCAACCTGGCCCTGCTGTACCCTCGAGCCACTCTGCTCTTCCAGCTCAGCATGAGCCTGGACGTGGCCAGTCACTGGCTGCATCTGCACAGGTCTGCGTTGATGCTGGAGTGCTAATGAATGGAAGACATTCCAGTGGGATTGGGGCTGGGGTGACTTCAGGCTCCCTGGGAGGTGTCTTCAGGCTCCCTGGGAGGTGTCTTCCTTTTTCTCTCCCCCTTGAGACAACAGCCCAAGACTTGCTTCGAATTTAGTGTGCGCCCAGGTAGGCCTCAAATTCATGACAGTCTTCCCACCTCAGCCTCCTGGGTGCTGGAATTCTGTGCCAGCACGCCCCTATCCTTAGCTGAGGCCTCTTTTTAAATTTTGCCTTGTTAAAATCCCAGGGTGACTGCCGTGTCTATGAGTGAGCTTGCCATTTTTAAAGGTGGCTTAAGCAATTTCTATCATGGGCCTGGCTGGATATTTTTGGATTCCAAATGCCAGGAGACACATGAGTGCTTTATGGTGGGGCATTTAATCCCTACTGCCCCCACCTAGGAAATTCTGAGGCCTGGAACAAGATGCAGTTTCCAGCTTCACACCAGCTCCTCCGTACAGTGGAGGCAATGCCAGTTGCCAGTGCCGATTGGTGAGATGATTGGGTGGCTATGGTAGCAGTCAAAGCTCATGAGGTCTTTTGATTTTTCTCCCCAAGTTCTGTGGTCAGGGGCAGTGAGAGCCACAAGATGATCGACCTCTCTGGGAACCCCGTGCTTCGGATCTACTATACTTCTCGGGTGAGCCCTCCTTGCCCCTCCCTTACTTGCTCCGAAGATGGGAAGTCTTAGGCTGGACCCTGGTCAGGAGAGAGTGGCTGCCCCAACCCTCTAAGCAGGAGTGGTCCCTGGGCTGAGGCATGGTGAAGGGGAATTTGGTGGGAGGTCTGTGTGATCCTCCTGGCAGCAGTAAGAATGAGGCTCTGAGACACAGACAGACAGACAGACAGAGGCTAAAGAATGATGCAGTAGGGCGCAGTGTGCAGCTGGCTGAGAGGCCCTCTCCTGTCTGTGGCCCAAGTCCCTGTGGGTTACGGTAGGGACATGGCCCTCCATCTTAGGCAGCCTTTATTGTGTGCAGCCTGCCCTGTTCACCCTGTGTGCTGGAAATGAACTCTTCTACTGCCTCCTGTACCTGTTCAATTTCTCCGAGGGACCACTAGGTAGGAAGAGGGGGTGGGGGTGGGGTTCCACCCTGCCCTGCCTGGGGAAAGAGAGGCCTCAATCTCGCACCCCTCCGTCGCCTCCCACCATCCTCTCTCTGCCTCCCCGTAGTGGGCTCTGTGGGACTCTTCCGAATGGGCCTCTGGATCACAGCTCCCATTGCCCTGCTCAAGTCCGTCATTAGTGTCATCCACCTCATCACAGCGGCGCGAAACATGGCCGCTCTGGATGCGGCAGACCGTGCCAAGAAGAAATGATCCTCGCCCGCCCCCAGCCGCCCACCTGCCCTGGGCATTTACTGCGCCACATGGCTCCTCTCCTCCTCCTAAGAGGTCCTTGTGTCATGTCTTATGTGTTCTCTAACCTGCTGGGATGGGGGTCAACCTCTGTGTGGTGTTGTCAGTGTCTTTTTAATCCTGAGGACCAGACCCATGCCTGTGACCCCAACGACCTGGCACGGCAAAGCAGGAAGAGTGCTCTGGAGGCCCCACATCCAGCTGGTGCTCCGGGAGGCCCCACATCCAGCTGGTGCTCCGGGAGGCCCCACATCCAGCTGGTGCTCCGGGAGGCCTGCCTGAGGATTGGGTGTTGCTACGTATCCTGCTGGCTCAGCCCTGGGGTCTGGCCTGGCCCGAGATTTGGGGGACATGTGAAGAAGGGAGATGTATGGCTCCCAGGTTTCCCAAAAGGCAGAAGAATCAGACTTGATGCCCTTGGGCCAAGGAAGCCTGGGGTACCAGGCCCAGGAGGGAAGGGGCCAGGGGCCAGCTAGATCCTTCCCTGAGGCAAACTCCTCTATCCTGTCCTCTTGCTTTGGAAGCCTCCATAATAAAGGGGGGACCTTCGCTCTTTTCGGACTTGTTTGCTTTGAGACATTCTTAGATGAGGGCCTAGGGTTAAAAGGAACGGGGTATAAAAGATCCACCTGGATGCTTTTCCCAAAGAAGGTGGCTGGCTCCTCCCTGTCATGCCAGTGACCTTAGAGAGGCCCTGCCGGCTCTTGAGGTTCACAAGCACTGTCTCTGTCCACTCGCTTTATGTCCCTGGCTGGTCACTTCCATTGTATCCTTGACATTTTCTACCCTCACAAGAATGTAAACTTCATGAGAGCAGACTATGTCTTTCTGATATCTGCCTAGAGTGAAAACTAGCCTGGCATGTGGTCGCTGCTTAATAAACACTCATGGAAAGATGGATGGTCTTCTCAGAGCATGGTCCTCAGGCCACTTAGAGCATACATTCCCCCACGCCCCATTGTGCTTCCTGGAACTCCTGGTCCTGCTTTGGCCTCTGGGTTTTGGGTTTACACTGTTACATGCCAGCCTAAGGGTTTTTGTTTACTTTTCGTTTGGGCATTTTTTTTTTTTTGAATGATTTATTTTATGTACAGTGGTGTTTTGCCTGCATGTCTCTTTTGGGCCCCCTGCAACTGAAACTACGGACAGAGAAGAGCTGCCATGTGGGTGCTGGGAATTGAACCTGGGTTTCTTGGAAAAGCAGCTAATGCTCTTAACCACTGTGCTGTCTCTCAGCACCAAGGCTTTTGGGGTTTTGTTTTGAAGTGTGTGTGTGTGTGGGGGGGGGGTCTCATAGCCCACATTGGCCTTGAGTTCCTAATTCTTTTGCTTCTGCCTCCTGAGTGCTGGGATGTGCCACCATACCCACTGAATTTTTAGTTTTTGAAACAGTATCGCTATATTACTGTGGTTGGCTTTGGCAAAATTCCTAGGTTCAAATGAGTCCCAACCTCAGTCACTGGGACTGTGGGTGCATGTCACTTCCTGGCACCAGATTTCTTTGTTTTGGGTTTTTGAGACATATAGCCCAGACTGGTCCCAACTGCTCTAGGAAGCTGGGGATGACCTTGAACTCCTGATCATCCTGGCTCCACCTCCCACATGCTAAGATTACTATAAGCAGGTGCCAGTAAACCCAGCACACTTCCTTTTTGAAGTGTATTGGGCGTGCCGTGCGAGACCCCACGTTGCGGTTGTTGGCAGGCGTCACTTGTTTCCTCCTCAATAGCTTGGCTGTTTTACCCAACTTGTATTTGGGAAAGCTGACGTTCAGGTGCGATTTTGGGGTTTTTGGAGACAGGGTCTTTCTATATAGCCAGGCTGGTCTCAAATTCAGAACCTTCCTGGCCACAGATTTTTGAATGTTGGGCGTGTGCCACTACATCCAGTCAGATGGGATGTTGACATTTTAAGTCGATAGCTGGTGAGGACAGGGAGGGAAGAGTTATTGCTCTTGGCAGAACAAACAACCCACAGAGGCAGGGGTCCAGAGAGCACCCAGGCAATTAAGAGAGATTGAAATAGATCTTGGTCCGTGTGTCTGGAACACTAAGTGCTGGGACGTAGGAGAGTTGAGGCACCAGCAGCCAGCTGAGCAGCCTGAGGAGCTCAGGAGGACATCAGGCCTTTTTATTTATTTCCTTATGGAAATTCACTTTGGGTATGGGCTACCACCTTGAAGTGCTGTTTACACACACTGTTTTGTCTGAATGTGAGACAGCTACTGTTGATCCTCAGGGGGTGGGGTGGAGGGGGGCAGTTTGCCTCCAAGGCCTGCCCTCTTTGGCTGTTTCATGTCAGCAGGCTTCTAAATCATGGAATGCCCTCCATCCCCGACGTGGCCAGGTCCTGCCATGACTGAATGCCGATGCTGGTGGCTCTTCTCACCTCTTTTTGGGGGCATGCGGAATGGACGTGGAAGGGCTGAGATGTTGGTGCTTAAGGGGAATGTTGACCCACACAAATCGGACCACATTTCATGTGGTCCAGAGACCCAATCAGGCCTGCTCTGGGGGAGGTGGGAGATTGGGGGAGGTGGTCTCCTAAAGACTTGCCTGGAAGTAGCCATTGCTCCCACCAAATGGATCTTCTGAGAATTCATCAGAGGATCCCTCTGCTGTCCCTGCTCCTACGGCCCGGCCTGACTCTAGGGCTCTGGCTGTAACCATATGTGACCCCCGCAGCCTCACTCGATGTGGAGTACAGCTGTATACAATCTTCACAAGGAGCATGGGAGCGAACGCTTGGCAGCAGGATGTTGCACCTGAGGGCTGAAGCCTGGAAGGGCTGACTGCACAGAAGGGTCTGTGTCCCATGAGGCTGAGCCTCGAGTCCGCGTGGCTCGAGTCCATTCGGTGGTTGGACTGAACTCTGGAAGAACCTGCAGGGCACAGGGCCTGCATTTACAGCCTAGGACCTGGAGGCTCTTGATCTGGAGGTGGGGGGTGGGGAAGTTTGGAATTTGGTCCTGGAGTCTGTACTTGATGCAGGGAATAGAGTGGAGTCACATATGTGCACTTTAGTCAGCCTTATCTTACCTTATTCCCTAGGGTCTTCACCAACTTTGAGTGAAAAATATTTGGGAAAGAAATTGCATGTCCACTGGATGTGTACAGAAGTTTTTATTATTATTTTCTTTTTTGTTTGTTTGGTTTTTTTTTTTTGTTTGTTTGTTTGTTTTTTTTTTTCCGGAGACAGGGTTTCTCTGTATTGTTTTGGTGCCTGTCCTGAATCTCGCTCTGTAGACCAGGCTGGCCTTGAACTCACAGAGATCCTCCTGGCTCTGCCTCCCGAGTGCTGGGATTAAAGGTGTGCACTGCCACCGCCCGGCTTGTTATTATTTTTTAATGATATGATATACCAACTAGCTCCATAGCATCGACATGGTGTTAGACATTATAGGAATGTGGGGATGATCTGAAGTATGTGGGAGCATTCTATAGGGTTATGTGTAAATACTACACCATTTTTTTTATGGGTGGACACAGATCTTAAGTTCCATGTTGGGTTGTGTGTCTTAGAACAAACCCTCCATAGATACAGAGGGATGATTATAATTCCCTAGAAATGAACTATGCTTATTCAGGCTGAGTGAATAACCTCATGCAAGCAGCGTGGTTCATTCCATGCAATGGCGTGTCTTGGAGAGGGCAGGAGATGGGTGTTTCCAGTCTGCTCTTCTTGGGGTGCTCTCAAGTCTCCTCCATTTCATGATGCAGTTAAAAATGACCCTGGCTGCAGGAGAGATGGCTTACAGTTAGAAGTCCTTGCTGCTCTCGCAGAGGATCAGTGTTCTAGTCCTGACACCCATACCATGCAGCTTCCCAACCACCCTGAACTCTAGCTCCAGGGAACCCAGTGCCTCACGGGTACCCACACTCAACATGCACGGGCACACACGTGTCCATAAACAAAAGGTGGGGTTTGTTTTGGTTTTGGTTTTTCTTTGTTTTCTAGCTAGATATGGTGGTGCACACCTTTAATCCCAGCACTCAGGAGGCAGAGGCGGGAGGATCTCTGTGAGTTCCAGGCCAGCCTGGTCTATAGAATGAATTCCAGAACAGCCAAAGCTACATAAAGAGACCCTGTCTCAAAAAACAATGGTGTTTTTTTTTTTATTTTAATTTTCACTTATTTATTACTTTTGGTTTTTGGAGATGGGTTTTACAGTGGTCCTGGCTGCCCTGGAACTCACTGGCCTTGAACTCATAGAGATCCACCTGCCTCTGCCTCCCAAGTGCTGGGATTAGAGGCGTGTGCCACCATCAACTGGCTGATTTTTTTTTTTAATCTTCGGGGAAAAAAAACCAACTACACAAACAAACAAACAAACAACAACCCTAGCTGTTATAACAAATTCCAGGATGCAGTGGTAGGAAGTTTCCAAGACTAGTGGGGCATGCTTGTAAGCCCAGTAGTCAGGAGGTTGAGGCAGACGGATCACTGAGTTCAGGAGGCTAGCCTGGACTATGTAGTGAGACTGTCCGCCATGCCCACCCTCTAAACGCTCTTCTTATAAAAGGTTCTTTAAACCAGTTACTTTTTCCGGTATTCAACCAAAGGAAAGCCGTCTGTACCAGCTGGAGGAAATGGCTTGTGATGGACTTGAGCAGTGACCATGCTGTTATTTCTGTCTGTTTATTTTCTGGGCAATTTATGGGTAAACGTGGGAGCTGACTGGAATCTGCCCCCGGGTGAGCAGGGACCCTGCTGTATTTCAGTGAGATGTTCTCCTGTCGTGGAGGTACATAGACCTGCCTGCTACCTGTGCTGGGCCAGTCTTCACGCATACAATCTAGAGTGATTTCTCGGCTGCCTGGGACTGGAAACCCTATGGAGTACATACAGTAGTCAGGCCAGGCTAGTTATGCTGCGGTAACGCCACTCTCCACCCCAGTCTCAATTGCTCCGGATGGTATACACATTCCCTTCCCACCACCTGTCCCTCATGGCTGACCTGTACCTCTCCTCGATGCCATTCTCCATCCTGGATGCAGGCTGACGGAATAGCCTGTGGGGGCGATATTACTGATCATACTTTCATATGGGAAAGAGAAGAGTGTGGCGATTATGTTACGTCCCCAGCATTTCATTGACGAGAACAAGTCACATGAGCAACCTGATGGGCACTCTGCGTCCATATGGAGACAGGAAGTCATCACTGGAAGTGAAGCCAGAGGCCGGGGGTGACAGGAAGGCTGGAGAACTGGATTCTGAAGACAGTGTGCTGGCTGAGAACGAAGGTAGGAGAAAAGGGGTGCAGGGGGCCTGCCCTGAGGGCTGTGTAGACAAAACAGCACTGGCCAATGGTGAGGCAGAAAAAACCAGAGTGGTCACAGGAGCCCAGTGTGGACAGAGGTGACCTGCAAATGTCAGGTGAGGCTAGGCGGGAGCAGACGGAACTGGACAGACGCCACCTGTGATACCTATGAAGGAGTGGAGAGCCTGGGGGGGGGAGGGCATTCCTTTAATCCCAGTACTCTGGAGGCAGAGGCAGGCAGATCTCTGAGTTCAAGGACAGCCACGGCTGTTATACAGAGAGACCCTGTCTGAAGAAAAACAAAAAACAAAAACAAAGGAAAAAGAAATTTTAAAAAAATTATACATGTGTATATCTGTATATATGTTTGTATGCATGTATATATATAAAGAAGTGGAGAGGCCAGGTGGGGGTGCACGCCTTTAATCCCAGCACTTGGGAGGCAGAGGCAAGCGGATCTCTGTGAGTTTAAGGCCAGCCTGGGCTACAGAGTGAGTTCCAGGAAAAACAAAAAAGCAGACCGAAAAGAAGTAGAGATACACTTATGAGGACAGTCTGAAAAGCCAATGAGGTGTGAGGAATGGGAACTGAGACCGCAGAGAACTCTGGGGAAATCTGGATGGGAAGCAAAAGAGGAG